AATATATTTTATTGATTTTTTACAGAGAGGAAGGGAGAGGGATAGAGAGTTAGAAACATCGATGAGAGAGAAACATCGATCAGCTGCCTCCTGCACACTCCCCACTGGGGATGTGCCCGCAACCAAGGTACATGCCATTGACCGGAATCGAACCTGGGACCCTTTAGTCCGCAGGCCGATGCTCTATCCACTGAGCCAAACCGGTTCGGCCAGATTGGTATTATTGGTGTGTTTTTTTCTTGAATAGTGCTGTAAATTAATTTTTATAACATACTCTAGTTATGCTCAGAGGAAGACAGGGTATTCAGTTGTCATTTTATGCTTTGTTTTAGGATGGAATTGTGGACCCCATTGACAGTACTTTGAGAGACTTTTGTGGTCGGTGTATCCGAGAATTCCTCAGATGGTCCATTAAACAGACAACACCACAGCAGCAGGAGAAAAGTTCAGTAAACACCAAATCACTTTTCAAGCGACTGTACAGCTTTGCACTTCACCCCAATGCTTTCAAGAGGCTAGGAGCATCACTTGCTTTTAATAATATCTACAGGGAATTCAGGTTAGTAAACCACATGATCGGAGAGAGTGTAAAACAAGTTCTTTAAATTCTCTGTAGTGATTTGGAAAAGTGACTTAGTGTTTATGTGTTCATGTATTCATATATCAAGTATTTAATACGTGTGTGCTGGGTGCTGTTCTAGTTTCTAGGGATTAAAAAATTGAATTAAAGTGCTGTTTGTAGTCAAGAAGCTCAGGAACTGCTGAGAAATGCATCACATATAATACTACAGCAGTCTTACAAATGCAGCAGAAGGCACTGCAAGGTCCTTTGGAGCATCAGAAGACACGTGTCCAACCCAGCTTGAGTAGGTTAGGGAAGGCTTCCTATCACATTTATACTTGAAATGAGACTTAAAGGATGAATGGGGATCAGCTAGAGAAATTCAGATATGAAATAGGATGGTACACAAGGAGATAAAGATATTTTATATTTGTATTGATTGAGGAGTTTGAAGCTTGGAAGAGAGTGTTGTTAGCCCAGCCAGGAGTCTTTGTCCAGTTAAGAAACATAGGTCACCTCTGGTGATGATGAGTCCCTGGAGTAGGAACAGGGAGCATCACGGTTAGATTTCCTCCTAAAATATACCTGCCAATAGCTATATGGAGTGTGAATCCGAGTGGTACAAGACTGAGAGCCAATGAAAGGGCTCTTGGAAAAGTCTAGGAAAAGAGAATTAGTCCTTGACCTAAAGTGATTGTTTGTTCGTCCACTTAGCATTATTTATTAAAAATATTATGTGCCATGTAGGATAAGCCCTCAGCTAATATTGTTCTCAGTGGCAAAATACCGGAAAGCTTTATCTTCAATATCAGGAACAGAAAAGGATGCTCACTGTCACCACCGTTATTCAACATAGTTCTGGAAGTCCTAGCCAGAGCAGTCAGGCAAGAGAAACACAAAATGGAACCCAAATTGCGAATGAAGTAAAATTGTCATTTTTGCAGATGACATGATACTTTATAAAGAAAACCTCGAAGGCCACCAAAAAAACTCCAAGCGTGCGGGCTTGTGCGTGCGCGCACGCACACACACACACACACACACACACACACTCTCTCTCTCTCTCTCTCACACACAACCTAGTAGAAATAGTAAATAAATACAGTAAAATTGAAGGATACAAAATCAATGTAATATACAGGTGATGTATTATAGAATTATACACTTGAAAGTTATATAATGGAATTAACCAGTGCCACTGCAATGAATTTAATCTAAAAATTCAAAAAGACTTTATGTGCCAGACATTGTGCCAAATACTGGTGACATAAAGATGTAGCCCTTCATGAAGTTTGCATTTAAGAAAGAGAGAATAATTAGTCACAAAGGTAAATGTAAAGTTTATACTTGAAATTAGTGTTTTTAAGTAGTGGTACATGATTACTAAGTAATTGTATAATGAGGAACCTGACCTCATTTGGTCAGCATAGCTTCTCTCAGTGGCAGTTGGGATAGAGATCAGGGGAGAAATTATAAAATAAAATAAATAAATAGGTGATTAGGTAGATAGATAATGGATGGATAGATTGATATAAATCTATCTTGTGAAAAATGATTAGAGTTCAAAGAACCCACTTTATTATTTTTTAAATCTTTTAAAATTGTAACGTATAGGTACAGGAGAATATTTACAACATATATGTAAAGCTGTCACTATTTGCAGGTGACATGATATTATGCTACATATAGAAAATCCTAACAACTCCACCAAAAAACTGTTGTAACTATTAACCAAATTTAATAAAGTTGCAGGATAAAAAATATGCAACAATCTGTTGTATTTCTTATACATTAATAATGAACTATCAGGAAGAAAAATTAAGAAAACAATCTCACTTACAGTTGCATCAAAAATAATAAAATACCTGGGAATAAATTTAACAACGAAGGTGAAAGACCTATGCATTGAAAACTATAAGACATTAATAAAAGATATTGAAGACACAAATGAGTGGAAAAATTAATATTGTGAAAATGTCCACACTCCACAAAGCTTTCTAACCTGGGCTGCCTGGCCACTGCTGCTTTTCCCTTGTTGATGGTTTCCTTTGCTGTGCAAAAATTTTTATTTTGACATTGTCCAATTTGTTTAGTTTTTCTTTTGTATCTCTCGTTTGGTTAGACATATCCAAAAAACTTCCTAAGAGGGATGTCAAAGAGTTTACCATCTGTTTTCTCCTAGGAGTTAGGGTTTTGGATTTTTACATTTAATTCATTTTTAGTTTATTTTTTTATATGGTATAAGAAAGTGGTGTGGTTTCATTTTTTTGCATGTATTTGTCTAGTTTTCTCAACACCATTCATTTAAAAAATTGTCTTTACCCCATTGTCATAGATTAGTTGACCAGATAGGTATGGATTTATTTCTGGGCTCTCTATTCTGTTCCATTATTCTTGCTAGTTTTGGAGGTGCCTTTGAGAGGGTACTCTGCTTGGGCCCCTTTGGTGGGCACCTGATGTGAGCTGAGGCAAGCTGCCACTTGTGCCAGGCTTGTGGCTGCTTCATTGAAGCTTCGTCCCAGGCCCAGACTGGCCAATATTTAATGCCAGGGTTGTGCCACCTGAGGGGAGTTACTATGCAAGTTGAGACTGGTCACCAGTTATATCAGACTTTAGCCACTCATCATGAGATACAAGGCATGCTGAGGCCAGCTGCTGTTTATTTGAGGTTTTTGGACCTTGAAAGGTTTGATGAAAGTTTGCAGCATATTTTTATTGCATATTTGAAAATTGCTAAGAGAATAGATCTTAAAATTTCTCATTACAGAAGAAAACATTTTGTAGCTGTATGGTGTTGTATATTACATAGCCTTATTTTAATGATAATTTTTATTTATTTATACAATATTGAATCAATATGCAGTATACCTGAAACTGATGTTTCATATTAATTGTACCTCTGTTAAAATTTGTAAATTTTATAGAATAATAATGATAAAAGAAGTTTTTGCTTACTACCTAGGTTAAGAAGTAGAGTATTATCAATATTTTAGAAGCTATCTTGCCCTGAATTAATCAGTCTCCTTTTATGTTACTTGTTCCCTTGCTCTTCTTTTTTGTTTTATTTGTACCTTAAAGGCTGTACTTTTGAGTTTTGGAGATCAGAAAGCATAGACACAACTGTGTAAGCATGTGGCAGTGTTTTCACTTTTAGGTAAAGGATCCTAGGAGATTCTCTGATGAATGGAAACTGACTTCAACTTTTCTGAGAGATTTCAGGAGCATGTTCCAAGGAAATACAGTACATTGACAAGGTCCATCATTAGTCCTGGGAAGCAGAGCTGTCCAGAAATGGTGGGAAGTAAACCAGCACTTGACATCTGAGAGAAATATAGTCAAAGGGTGTGGACTGCCCTTTAATTTCTATATACCTCTCAGTTTCCAGTGTCCTACCCCTGTCTGTCAGGAGCAGGCCACAGCACTATTCTCTTGTGGGATAAATTAGATGATTTATCCCACTGTTAGCTGATCCAGGCTCAACATGAACAGGAGAAAAATTTTCAAGTACATGATCCTGGTAGGCCTGGATTCCCACACAGAAGAATTTGTATTAGGCTCACCTGGCTGTTCTGTCCAGGTCCAAAACCCATACCATGGTATCCTTGTGGAGACGGTTGCCAACATGTCTCTTTTTTGGATCCCTGCTTGACTTTCTTGTCTGGACCTCCTTGACACTTCTCTTGGGTGTTCCCTTTATCCTTGTTTGGTCTTCTGTTTCTTTTTCTCAGTTGTTGGACTGTAACCATTTGTCTAGGTAAGTGCTCCAAAAGGATAATGAAACTTCTCGTACCTCTCCAAGCCAGAAATTTAATCACATTCTAAGTGATTCTTTGAGGAAAGGTACCTGAGAGATCAATTTTTTGAGATCTTACATGTTGAATAATATAAATACAAGTTCTAATGTTTTCTTTCTGTATGTTAATGAACTGTTTTGCACACCTTTGGAGAGCCCAGTTTTAGAGTATCATTTTGTCATGTCATTTGTCTACATACTTACTTTAACTGATTTTGCTAAGATAAAAACACTTGTACTTAGTCTGATCTTCAAAGGCCTCTATATTTCAATTCCAACTTTTGCAGTCTCATCACAAATTGCTCTTCCAAATGAAGCTTCTAGTTTTGCCAGTTTGCTTGCTGACTCCTGTGTTTTTCATCTTGCCCTCCATGTCTTTGCCCAAACCATTCATTTATTTGTAGTATCTTTTATTTTCCGTGTCACATTTGGGTGTTCAACATTGGGGGAGATGTGTACCTTGTGGAACCCTGAGAGGCCCTGCCCCCTCCTGGGATGCAAATTAAAAAAGAACTTCAGATATTTCTGCCAAACCAAATACTAGTTTGCAATTCTTGTTTTAAGTCCTCCCCATTCCCCAGTGCCACTCTGGGTTTTTTTGTTCTAGGAAAGTACTCCTTCCCAGTAGGTGTGCAGGAACCCAGCACTGCTTCCACAACTAGAACTTTTTATTCTTAGTTTTCTCTGAACTCCTATGAGACTTAGTGCCTAGACCTGTCCAGTGTTATTAAGGAACATATTTTTCAGTGAGAGATATGGTTTCTATCTTTGGCCAACCCATGAGTTTATGTATAGGTAGGTGGTCCAAAGATATTGCTGATGGAATTAATTATTTACATGTACTTGATATGCATTTAAAAGGCTTAGAGTTAACTCTTGGTGTTGACTTGATTTTGGATAGGTTGAAAGCTTTTAAAATTTCTTTTTTTTTTTTAATTTTTTAATGGTTTTATTATTCTGTTTTGCATGCCTAAGAAACAACCAGATTTTATCAGCAATTGCATTATTCTGATCATGAACGCTCATCAAACCTTTCAGATTTGAAAATTATCAATAATAAATTAACCAGAGCCACGGAGTCTCAGTGTCTACAGAATTTTTCATTTTCCTCTGATGCTTGTGTGGCTGCCCTGCTGTAAGCAACAGGCCAGAGCTTGTGTCTTCCACAAGCCCCAGCCTCCTGGATAGGCCTGGAGAGCTTCTTCTAAGTTATGGTCATGTCACAGGATAAGCTCTTGAGAACAGGCTTCTGTGCTGAGACCGCTCCGACCGCGTTCAGATGGCAGTAGTGGTCTGAGTCAGGATTTCCAGAACTCTCTTAGTTGAGAAGCAGAAGGCTTCATGAGACCCTCAGTCAGTCCGGCAGAACCAGAATTAATCCCATAGTCCCTCCTATGAGACTTAGTGCCTAGACCTGTCCAGTGTTATTAAGGAACATATTTTTCAGTGAAGATATGGTTTCTATCTTTGGCCAAACCATGAGTTTATGTATAGGTAGGTGGTCCACAGATATTGCTGACGGAATTAATTATTTACATGTACTTGATATGCATTTAAAAGGCTTAGAGTTAACTCTTGGTGTTGACTTGATTTTGGAATAGGTTGGAAGCTTTTAAAATTTCTTTACTTTAAAAGAATATAAATGTGGTACCTGATCTTCTTTTGTACTACATTTAATTTTAATGATGTGTGTGGAAGTGTGGTCAGAAAGCAGTTCTCAGGTTACGTGCTATGAGCAACTGCAGTTATAAGGGGAGGGGGGTACATGTACAGAGAAAAAGCCAGTGCTTCCTTTTTTGGTTTATGTAGTATTTGGGAAGTTTTCTTCTTTCACAAGTATTTTAGGTTATTCTATGTTTTTGTTTTGTTTCATTAATCCTCATGGAGAGAGAGAAACAGCAATGTGAGAGAAATATTTGATTGGTTCCTCCCATACGTGCCCCAACCCGCAACCTAGGTATGTGCCCTGACCGGGAATCGAACCCATAACATGCTCCAAACAACTGAGCCACTTGGCCAGGACAGGTTGTTTTATATTGTAAAACACTTGAGTCATTTTTAAGAATAAATTTAATTAATGTATGTATTGTTTACTAACATTACTTATTGTCCTTGTCATTTCTGCTTTATTGTTTTCTTATGTGAGGATCGTATTCTTTATTTTGCAGGGAAGAAGAGTCTCTGGTAGAACAGTTCGTGTTTGAAACCTTGGTTACATATATGGAAAGTCTGGCCTTAGCACATATGGATGAGAAATCCTTAGGTAGGTCTCATCCGAGCGTCTCTGTGCATGCCGATTCTGTTTGCCTGATAAATTTTAAGGGCTTTTCACTCAGGGATTAAGCCTCAGCTGCTACTGTCACAGAGTGGTGTGCTTTTCTCACGTCTCCCATTTAAGGTGATACATGTGAAGGGGATATATGCCCCTCCAGTGCCTCAGTTCCAGTTCGTAAAAGCGTTTGCCATGCCCTCCTTCTCTAAGAGTCACCATGTACCCCTGGTGGCCACTGAGGTTGACCGTTGATTGCTCAGAGATCCTGCAGGGCAGATGGGACAATTTTATTTTATTTTTTATTTTTATTTTTTTAAATGTTTTAATATATTTTTATTTTTATTTTTTTTATTCTTTTTAAAAAATATTATAATAAGTATTACAAAGGGTATTACATATGTGTCCTTCCCCGCCCTTGACAATCCCCTGCCCTCCCTTACCCCCCAGTGTCTTATGTCCATTAGTTATGCTTATATGCATGCATACAAGTCCTTCGGTTGATCTCTTACTCCCCTCCCTTCTGCCCCCCAACCCTCTCTGGCCTTCCCACTGCAGTTTGACAATCAGTTTGAGGCAGCTCTGCCTCTGTATCTATTATTGTTCAAAAGTTTGTAATGGTCTTTATTATCCATGAATGAGTGAGATCATGTGGTATTTTTCCTTCATTGACTGGCTTATTTCACTTAGCATAATGCTCTCCAGTTCCATCCATGCCGTTGCAAATGGTAAGAGTTCCTTCTTTTTTACAGCAGCATAGTATTCCATCGTGTAGATGTACCACAGTTTTCTAATCCATTCATCTACTGATGGGCACTTAGGCTGTTTCCAGATCTTAGCTATGGTGAATTGTGCTGCTATGAACATATGGGTGCACATATCCTTTCTGATTGGTGTTTCTGGTTTCTTGGGATATATTCCTAGAAGTGGGATCACAGGGTCAAATGGGAGTTCCATTTCCAGCTTTTTGACCTCTAAAATTTTACTTTAAAAGAATATAAATGTGGTACCTGATCTTCTTTTGTACTACATTAAATTTTAATGAAGTGTGTGGAAGTGTGGTCAGAAAGCAGTTCTCAGGTTACGTGCGATGAGCAACTGCAGTTATAAGGGGAGGGAAGTACATGTACAGAGAAAAAGCCAGTGCTTCCTTTTTTGGTTTATGTAGTATTTGGGAAGTTTTCTTCTTTCACAAGTATTTTAGGTTGTTCTATGTTTTTGTTTTGTTTCATTAATCCTCATGGAGAGAGAGAAACAGCAATGTGAGAGAAATATTGATTGGTTGCCTCCCATACGTGCCCCAACCCGCAACCTAGGTATGTGCCCTGACCGGGAATCGAACCCATAACATGCTCCAAACAACTGAGCCACTTGGCCAGGACAGGTTGTTTTATATTGTAAAACACTTGAGTCATTTTTAAGAATAAATTTAATTAATGTATGTATTGTTTACTAACATTACTTATTGTCCTTGTCATTTCTGCTTTATTGTTTTCTTATGTGAGGATCGTATTCTTTATTTTGCAGGGAAGAAGAGTCTCTGGTAGAACAGTTCGTGTTTGAAACCTTGGTTACATATATGGAAAGTCTGGCCTTAGCACATATGGATGAGAAATCCTTAGGTAGGTCTCATCCGAGCGTCTCTGTGCATGCCGATTCTGTTTGCCTGATAAATTTTAAGGGCTTTTCACTCAGGGATTAAGCCTCAGCTGCTACTGTCACAGAGTGGTGTGCTTTTCTCACGTCTCCCATTTAAGGTGATACATGTGAAGGGGATATATGCCCCTCCAGTGCCTCAGTTCCAGTTTGTAAAAGCGTTTGCCATGCCCTGATTGCTGCAGCTATTCGGGGTCTTTTTTTATTCCAGATGAATTTTTGGAGAGTTCGTTCTAGATCTTTGAAGTAGGAGATGGGACAATTTTATTGTGAGTTCAATGAAGCCAACCAGTTGCTATGATGACATAAAATGTGAAAGTGTACCGATTGTACAATGTAAAGAAAGCTGGATGTGATAACCACTGAGATGTGGTCAGTGTTCCTGAGCTCACTAATGATAACTTAGAAAGTAGAACATAAGTCTCATTACAAGATTGTGAGAAAGCTCTTTTGACTATAATTAAGAAATAAAGTTAAGTCAGGAATAGGATAAAGTAGCTAAGAGAAGAATAAATTCTAGACAGAAGCTGTTAGGAACATCATGAATATTTGAGCTGGAAGACTCGTTAGAGATTTCCTCATTCAGTTTCCACACTAGTCAGGGCCCAGGTGCCCAGAGAATGTAAACAGCGAATCTAGGTCACATAGCTGCATGGTGGCAGAATTTCTCTTTCATCTATCCAGATTTTGGTTTTTGTTTATTTTTTTAAATGACACGTTGAACTCTATTATCCTGCAAGTTTATAGCCTGCTATGGGCAAAAATGCTTAAAATTTAGTCCTTGCTATAAATAGTTTACTATTGCTTTGTTTACCTTTATATCTTATGTTGTTTTTTTCAACATGTGAAACTTTTAAACTCTTTTAAAAACCACTGCTATGTTTAAAAAGTATAGACAGGAAACTTTTTCTTGTTAACAGATTAAAATAAGTTTTATAAGGCTCTTTTCCTAAATAACCATTTTACTATTTTAGTTCTGTTCTTCTATAGTGGTCGTATTATCCTATGTAATAAAAGGGTAATATGCAAATCGACCGAATGGCAGAATGTCCGGTCGCTATGACACGCACTAACCACCAGGGGGCAGATGCTCAATGTAGGACAGTGATGGTGGACTTTTTGAGCTTGGCGTGTCAGCATTTTGAAAAACCCACTGAAGCAATGGAGGCTTGCTTGCTGCAGACTCCAACGTTCCCCGCCTAACTTGCCAGCCTCTCAGTTGCAACTCTAAGCAACTATGTAGTACGTTGCAAATAAGAAGCTAAACAAAACCCCAGAAAAGGGCTTCCATTCAGCCGGGCTCGGAC